ACATGACAAAGTACCTTTTTTTTTTCACTTTAAGTCCGTCTGTCATGCTTATCCTTATGATAACCATCTGCTTATCCACTGATGCTTCTTCCTACCATCTTTAACCTGTTGCAGCCTGCATGTACCCTGCCTCTACTCGCTGTTCCATCCCATACAGCACCTTCCGTGGCTTCTGTGAATTTCCCCACTAAGTGAGGACATGTGTATGCTGCTCTTTCTCCAGAAAGGCATCTTCAGGCAAGACCATGGAGGTTCAGGACATGTACCATGGCAGCAGTGGGAAGAGAGACAGTGTGACAGATTGCACTGAGTTCTGTGCCCCCTGTTTTAGAATGAGGAGGCTTGGGACTAAAAGGGCATCATCTCACACACTAATAAATTCCTCTTGCTCTAACTGGTGGCTTTTCCATTGGGTGAGAGTTGCAGGAGGAGTGGTGAAGGCATGTGTTTGAGAGAGTGCTGTTGATGAAAGGAGACTTTTTCATTAGTTCTGAAGGCTGCCTGAATGGGAAATGAGACCATACTTGCAAAGGAAAGGGCATGAGAAGTTTGTCTTTTTAATGTACAATAGCTCATAAAGCTGGTAGTTTAAAAAACAAAACAAAACAAAAACATAAAAAGAAAATGAAGCCATGGGTGGGAGACTGATTCTGATTAAAGAGATCTGCATAAACTTCTCCTTGATGGATTAAAAAAAAACAGTTTAGGAAATGAAAATTATTCTTCTGTTGCTAAGGACTGCACTGTCACTGGAACTGTGGTAGTTAAAGTTAGCTGCAGGAACTTTGTAGATCCTGAAATCTTTGCATATTTTAAACTTGTTGAAAAAGCATTAAGTGTGGTGTCCTTTACCTTATGTCTTGCTGAAATTCTAATTATAACTAAGAAAAAGAAACTGGCTATGGTACTGTGGTTTTTTTTGGTGCCTGAAGATAACTAACTTGAAACTTGTTACATTGTCTGGGTATATGGGAAACTTTTTTTTTTTTTTTAAACTTGCAATGTGGCACAGCAGCCATGTGCAGTGTTAGGTGTAGTGGCTCAAGAAGCTGGAAGCCAGGGGGCAAAACGGAGTCCTGAACGATCTCTAATCCTTGCAGTGAGCAGGGCCCCGCCTGTCCAGCCCGTAGCCTATGCGGCTGCCACATCGCTGGTGCACAGCCTGCCTACGGAGACTCACCTGCTTCATGTTCAGGCTGGTCTCCAAGAAACACGGGGATTCCAGTATTTTTTACACACTGATTCAGCTACAAAATTTGCAGGTATGTTAGAGTAGGTACATGGAGAACAGACAGGCTCCTGGCCTGACCCAGTGAGTAACTGCCTCCGCATTCTCCATACGAAGCCAGACTGATGGCCCGTAACGCACCTGGGCACAGACCTGGCTGTCAGCCCTCTGAAACACTTCTCTGGGATGGGGAACAGCTCTTCTAGAGAAGCCTGTGATAGCAGAAGGGTGGGTATTGTTCAGAAAAGTGGATGACTGTGAATTTATTTTTTTTTAAATCTTTTCCTCTAGTGGAATAGCAGCTGTTTCCACACGGTTTTCTCTTAGTGCCTGTTAAAGGGTGACGGACTAAGCAACAGGTCATGCTTTATGCAGGTCACAAAGGCAACAGCCTACCTAGGTAACAACTCAGTTGATAGGTTTTATAAACACTTCTGGCACTCATCCTGGAGTAATTACCTGGCCAATAAGAAATTGAGAGCTATGGTGAGCATATAATATGTTGAAATCAGATTTTTTTTTTTTCTCTCCTGTTACTTGAAACCTTTGCCTGCCTTTTGAAGCACTATCCAGGTCAGGTTAGTTTTGTTCCACTGGGATAACGAGCACTTAACTGAGTTGTGATCAAGTCTCCCAAAGCATAAGCTTACATTGTATCCTGACTTTCAGCCCAGGGACCTCTGCAGACTTTTCCCCCAGTAGGGTTGCAGGGAGTTTATATTATATATAGAGTGTGGCAGCAAGGTAAGAGCTGCCAAGAGCTACTGGAAGTACAGTTTGCACTGAGGGGATGCACATAATTTTCCTCTTCCGCAACCTAGTTTTGCAAGAGCAATTATTAACTGGGAAAGGGAAGCCAATACTGAAGATCGGAAAGAACTCCCACTTAAGATGATGCATCTAACAAAAAGAGTTGGAGTTTTAAATGTGATGGAATTGCAGAACACGTAACAGAGCTGAGGTAAAAGCTAGCAGAATGAAGCAGTGTATTCTTGGGGTGTTTTCTTTCTTCTCCAGGACAAAACCTCTCAGGTTTTACTTGATATGCACTTATTTCTGAGAGCAAGATGTACCAATAAGCCAGTGCTCCAGCAAACTCAATATCCCTAAAGTATTTCCTCTACTAGACAGGAAAAATAAAACACCAATTCTGGTGTAGAGGTAAGCGTTTTATTTTATTCAAGTTATCACCCTTAGCGAGTCAAGCCATACTGCACACTTTCAACTTCTGAACAAGCTTTAACTTAAAACTCACTTTAAAGCTTTTTGGTTTTCAGTGGGAAAGCTGTTTAATAATTTTTAAATGAACCTGTATCATTGAAATAGCAGCGGGAATCCTGCTGAGACACAGAAGGCTACAACTAGCCTTACAAATGAAATTTGTGTGCCTGATCCCAGTCTCTGGAACACTCCGTGTATTCTGCGTTAGCACCAGACATACAGAACAGAGCTTAACAAACTATCTGCAGTCAACAGCTTAAACCAACTGGCATATACATTTCTTTATTAGCCAGAGAGTGTCATCTCATGGGTCACTGTGGTCTACTGGTTAAGCCTGCCAAAACAATGTTCGGGAGCTAGTCACGTGCACGTCTGCAGAGCATTTGAGATGGCTGCGTACACGCTTCCAGCACGGATGTTGGCTGGTACATAACAAGCTTCTCTACTAGGAAGTAAATTACTATGTATCAGGAAAAAAAAAGAAAAAAATAATAAAAAAAGAATAAATAAATCGGTGGAGCTACAGTAACACACACCACATGAACACAGCATTGATACTGGCCCTGTTCTCCAATGGGATACAAAGTGCACACATGCACGAACTGTCCTTGCCTTACCCTGGTAAAACCAAAGCATAGAGCCATTCTGCCATCTCTCTTGCAAGTTGAGCAAAAAAACAAAACACATCCTAAGTGGTGAGAGACTAGAGAGATGCAGCAGGACAGTACCGTAATAAAAACAGACTATTTGCACCTGAGTAGCCCCATAAAGGCTAGCTTGCAATTGCTTAATAGGTTTTATAGAACGAGCTTCCCCTTAGGAGTCTGAGCCTGAGAGTATATTAAAAAAAAATGGATTATTGACACACTCTTCCACCCACTTGTCAGAGATGATTTTCCAATGGAGCATGTTTCAGCACTGGTGAGGCCACACCTTGAATCCTACGTTCAGTTTTGGGCCCCTCACCACAAGAAGGACATTGAGGTGCTGGAGCAGGTCCAGAGAAGGGCAACGAAGCTGGTGAAGGGTCTGGAGCACAGGTCTTATGAGGAGCGGCTGAGGGAACTGGGGTTGTTTAGTCTAGAGAAGAGGAGGATGAGAGGAGACCTTATCACTCTCTACAACTACCTGAAAGGAGGTTGTAGTGAGGTGGGTGCTGGCCTCTTCTCTAAAGTAACAAGTGATAGGACAAGAGGAAATGGCCTCAAGTTACACCAGGGGAGGTTTAGGCTGGATATTAGAAATAATTTCTTCACTGAAAGAGTGATCAGACATTGGAACAGGCTGGCCCGGGGAAGGCATTGGAACAGGCTGCCAAGGGAAGTGATGGAGTCACCATCCCTGGAGGTGTTCAAGAAAAGCGTAGATGTGGTGCTTAGGGACATGGGTTAGTGAGTTAGGTGGTGTTGGGTTGGACTTAATGATCCTTGAGGTCTTTTTCAACCTTAATGATTCTATGACTCGATGTATGTCTGACAAAAATGCTTTATTGAGGAATAAACAGAAAGCAGCTCAAAGTACAGTTTCCTTGACAACACCAATAAGACTGTGAGGCCGTTCGTGCTCTGCTCTCTGGATCTTCCCCTCTGCTAGCTGATCATCTGTGGTGAAAGTACTCAGGTCACCACAGCTCTCCAGGTGCAGCAATCCAGGATGCTGTCTGAAAGGTAACACATGGGCATTGAATGACATGTCTTGCTGGGGAGGTGTCATCACCTTTAACAGGGAAAAAAAAAAATGTAAATCAGATTAGTTTTCAGACTCTTGTCTGTTAAAATAGTTTCGTACCCAACTAAGAAGAAGCTGGTTGTAGTGCTGCCTGTTATTTTTAAAGAATAATTTAAAAGGCTGAGATTAAAACTGCTGTTGTCAAGGAGGCACGGGGAAAGCAATCTTAATTGGGAAAAGGGGTGAGTGGTGGGTTTTTTTGTTTGTTTTTGGTTTTTTGTTTTTTTTAAGCTGCACGAGAATTAGCTCACCCCAAACCATGGCATGCCAGGTATTGCTTAGTGGGAATCTAAATATTACTTCCTGCAGAAGCCACTGGACTATAGCAAGCTTCAGTACCATGTGATAAAATAAATTCTCATAATGAATTTCTTTTTTCATCTGTTTCTGTCAAATTAATTGGGGCTTTAGTTGCCTGTAGGCTGCAGTAGGAAATCCTGCTTTATCTGCAGAGCCTAAATTACCATCTTTGATGTGTTTTGTGTGAGAGCTCAAAACCAGTTGTCACAGCAAATCACTTGCACTGTGTGTGAATCAACTCATATATCCAAATGGTCTGTAAGCTACCAAAATATTTGTTTAATGAAGTCTGTAATGTCTGAAACTTCTGAATATTCATTCCATGAATGTAAGCACATTAGTACTAGGTCTTATTTTTATCCTGGGATCTGATCACAAGAAGTTGCTTCTACTAGGAGGTTTACATAAAAATTTCTTTGTCAGCCTCCATTCCTTCCAGTTTATAATAGTAAATGCTTTATAACATCTTCTCCCTCTCCCCTGCCACATTCAGTGTAAAACACTGTCATGTTATTTACATTTCATGATTCTACCACAGAAGACCATCTCCTTCAGCTTTTAAATACACAGGTATTCGGTCTTATGAAAACCTGCTTGGCTGTGTGGTTGATAGAGCAAGAGACATCACAGCTGCATAGCCTCTTGCACACTTGCTAAACAAAACTGAAGTACTGAAGGAAGCTAATTGGGTTCAAAAACAGACACACAAAACAGAGCAGCAAATGTAAACCTATACTCCAGAATCAAAGCCAGCCCGGGTTTCCACATCACCCAATAAATGCAAGTAATATAACTACCTGCTCAAGGAAGGTGGCACTGGTGATAGCTTCTACCATAAGTTTCTCATCTGATTTTAAAACAGACTTGATATTTTCCACCAATTCATGTATGTCAGGGCTCATGCTGCAGGAGGATTGCTCTAGGATCCATGTCACAAGCCGTTTAGTGTCTGAGTAAGACTTGTAGTCTATCAAAGATTGGGGTCTTCCCCTCAAAGCTCTCACTCTCAAACTCTTCCGCAAGGTGACAGCGCAGAGTTGTGGTTTCACCTCAGTTTGTGTTGCAGCTTCACAGCTGAGCACTGCCCCTGAAGACAAAGATCAAATGAAGCAAACAGTCCACTTGGTTCACAGTACTGTTGTTCAACAAGCACCCCAAGATTTCAATCCTGATTCAGGGGTGATGCAGTGCACAGTTTAACCACGCAGAAATTCTTAGCCGGGCGTGGTCAGGGTGGCATGCGAGGCTCACTCTGTATTGTGTTTACACTACAGAACATGCCTGTAAAATAGAGTAGTACATAGCTATGGTTGAGCAGATATCACATGTCAAAGGGTCTGGAGGGACATTTCTGGGAAAACTATGTGCCATTTTGTGTACATTTTTCCCTTTCACCTCTGTTCTGAACAGACCTGAAATGAGCGTTGAGTGTAACATAGTTATACAAAGCAGGTTAAGCAAAGATTGAAGGCTTTTATGATCTCTCCTAAGCTTTTTGTAATGTTCAGTGGTTACCAGTCAAGAGGGCTAGTTACAAAATATCTCAAAATAATTGCTAGTCAAGCTGGAAGCTAGTAATACTACAAAGTGGAAATTTAATTAAAAAAATATTCAGAAGTACCGTGCAAGGACCCAACAAAGGGCAGCAGGAAATCAATTCCACTGCCTTTGGTTCAAATAAAAATCCACTGCTTTTGGTCTAAGTAACAATCATCAATTTTTGGCCCTGTTAAAAACAAATAAATAAGCACACCTACAGGCTCTTCAAGAAGCACTTTACTGTTGACTTTATGCCAAACACAACAATATCAGGAAGAGAGCCAAAAATTTACAGCAAGATGAGTTCCCTTTCTGCAGCACTTGTGTATTTAACTCTCAGGCCTAGTGCTGAACAGATCCAGCCTCAGCTACACTGAGCCTAAAGCACCCAGATGCTTCTGACTGATGTAGTCTCTCTGCAGCAGAAATGTTCTGTCCCGCTCTCGCAGCTATGAATAGGCTCTGTGTCATCTAGCTACTGCTTCAGCAGCAGATTCTCTGGGGTGCTGTGGTGGAAGTTGACAGGAGGAAAAAAAGAAAACACATGACGCAGCAGAGACATAAAAACCTTCCACAAAATAGTAAATGCAATCCAGGTAGGCATGCTCCCAATATTCAAAATAAATGTTTCTTACCAACGCGCCCCCTCCCCACTTACATTTTGTGAATGCTAATATGTATCAGCTACTACTACAGGGATTACAATATCCTCTAATAAAAACTGCAAGACTCTACTAGTAGATTTGTAAGACTGTCAACAGAATCAAGGACTCTGCAGCCACACTAACAGCTTTCCCACAGCAACCGAACTGGATCACTGATGCCAAAATAGCTGTGACAGACTTCATCAGCTCTCCACTGTGTGTCATTTTATGTTGAATTTTGGGGTTTTTTGATGACAGGAGGAGCAAGAGAAGGGGTGCAAATTTATAGGCTAAAACCAAATACCCAAAATAATTTTCCGTTAAATTGCTCACATTGACAACTGCCCTTGCAAGCTTTTAGATGCCAGTGTACGAATACACTGAGAAATCCTATGTGCTCCCCCCTCCTCACCTTCCACCACCCGTCCCTTCTCCCCAGATTAGCAACGCCTGCTGCAGACCCTGTTCCTAGATGTGAAGCCTAAAGCAAGAATAAGGTGTTGGGTGGAGTTTGGCAAAGCACAAACTGTTTGCTGTAGTGTCGGTGCTCTGTTGGGAGACCGGGGCTGATTTCTGCAGGTATTAGGTTCAAGGTGCTAACCTTCTGCCAGATGATCTTTTAAGGACTCATCACATAAGTACTGACAGAGAAAATCAAGTCACCTTGAAGCAGCTGGCAGTGTAGCACAGGGTCACTTTTAGACTGCTTCAACAAAGGATTGAAGGCTGTCCTGAAAGCTCCTTCTGCAGGCACCAGGCTTGCGTTTGAAGGTGAATGGCTCACTCTGCTGGAAGACTCAGGAATTTCTTCACCTGAGTAATCAGGAATAGTAAAGGTGAAGAAAAAGTAGTTAGAACAAAGCAAATCTGTAGAAGCCATTATCAGAGATCATTACTGATTTTTTTGTGTGTGCCCCCCACCCCTCCACAAAGCTGTCATGATTGGATAAAAAGCCTAGAGGTGCATGTATGTCTGCATATGCAAATACTTGCCAGTAATACCAGTCTAAAGCCTGCTTAAACATTTGCAGAAACATGTTCAGCCTTATACAACAGGAGTAGCAAAAAAATACAGCTGTGCCTAATATAAACCTCACCTTAAGCTACCTGATCAGAGAGGAGGGAGCTACACCTTTCTTGGAGAGAAAACTAAATCTCACAGAGCCTGAAATCTTCCTGCACATAAGCATTTGTACCAAGGTATAACAATATATGGTCACAGAAGTTAGTCATTTTTTGCAATTAAGTATCTTGGAAATCAGTCCCCAGTCTCTATAAGGGAATTAAAAAGCTTGTTTCGTGAGGTTCTTTATTAAAATATTTTCCTGGATCCTTGTGAAATTTTTCTTCTTTTCAATTAATCAACATTCCTCCTTTTCCTTAGAGCGAAATTATATGAAGTAATTCCCACAACTGCCTCCCAGTGAACAGGATAGGATGAAGCTACATATTTCTCACCAAGCCTGGTTGTGGGAAACCTTTTAGAAGAAAAATACTTATGTTTGTGAGAACCTTCTTAGAAGAAAAATACTCATGTTTGTGAGAATCTTTTTTAGAAGTCCTCATGTAGTTGATGTCTACTACAGGAGAAAATAACACCTGCAAGGGACGAGAAAGAAAGTAATTGTACAGAATTTGAGTGAGATAAGGAGGAACTGAAGGTAAATAATCAGCATGACTAAGTAATTTCAAGGGTCCCGTTCCCAGGACTAAAGTTAGCCAGTAGTAACTTTGTTTTTAGGATTTTAAAATCATTGTATCCAACTAGTAGCTGCCAAATCTGCAAGAGCTCTGTATAAAAGTGTGTAATCAAGGCATAATAAATGGCTACAGCATGATCATATTGGTCTGTGTCTGAGTCCCTACCAGCAGCACCTGGTTCTGTACCTCCATCTGATGGCACCTGGCATATTACAGGAAATAATGATCTTGCTCAGGCAAGAGGAAAAAACCAAATTAATATAAACAGTCTGTTATTCGGAACATTGCAAATGTGCTGCTACTCCAACAGAAATGTGTCAGTGACCGGAGCATTTGAGAAAATTAAGGCTTGGATGACACATTCTTATTGAGCATAGCACCTTGTCTCCTACACAAATGCAACCTGGAATCTCTAAGGAGAAGAAACTGTGACACAACTCATGTAAAGCAGATACGTGCCTGGAAAGTCAGGAGGTAGGACCTAGCAACAAAGCATGGCAGACCAAGAATCAAGCAGGATTAAAGAATCCATCACCAATATAAACCTTTTCACACCAGTGGAGTTGTGCTAGCAGGCAGCCCTTGAGGTACAGTGTTGCTGGTACTCTGGAGAAGTTGTTTTTTTAAAATACTGAAGAGATGAATAAACCAATTTCATGATCTTATGACAATTCTTCATAATATTAATGTTTCAGATGTCAGAGAGATAAGTTGGTGTGTACTGGAAATGCATATACCCAGAGCAGCTGCCAAGCAGCCCAGGTCATCAGTAGAAGGCTGCGTGTCTTCCTACTACAGTTGGCAGGAAAGGTCCCATTTTGCTTAACAGAAGTGCTTTTGAAGTCAGTAAAATCATTTTAGCTGGCACGGAGAAGCTGCAGCCAGCAGCCAGGACTCCCCTGGTTCTGCTGGCAGCGAGTAGGGTGCAGCCTTAACTTCCGTCCGGAGCTACACTCAGTCGATCAGTCCTGACGATGCCAAGGGAATCACGGCATCACACACAAATGCCCTGGCATGACAGACTACCGGCACAAACTGAAAGTTCAGCTTTTATTTATAGACTGTTACTCTGCCTCAGCTGAGACAGCCCATGGAGTCACTCTGCCATGATTCCAACATATCCCTTCATTTTGTATTTCCCTTCTGATGTGGTTTAACTTCAGGAGGCATACTCAGCCCCACAGAGTCACTCAACTCACCTCCCCTCCAGGGGGATGGGGAGGAAAATTGGAAGGGCAAAAGCGAGAGGACTCGTGAGTTGAGACAAAGACAGTTTAAGGGGGGAGAAAAAACCCAACAAAACAAAACAAAAGATAAAAAAAGCAATGCAAAAGCAATTGCTCTCCACCAGCTGACTGATGCCCTGTCAGTTCTTGAGCAATGGCAACTCCGGAAAACTGCACCCAAGTCTCTATTGTTGAGCATGATGTTATATGGCACTAGACATCCCTTTGGTCAGCTGGGGCCAGCTATCCCAGCTGTGTCCACTCCCAGCTTCTTGTGTACCCCCAGCCTACACACTGTGGTGGGCAGAGTAAGACATGGAGCAACCGTCAACACTGTCCAGCACTGCTTAGCAAGAGCTAAAACATTCGTGTGTTAGGAACACTGTTTTGGTCACAAATGCAAAACAACGCCATGTGGGCTCCTGTGAAGAAAATTAATTCCATCCCAGTCAGACCCAGTAAACCTCCCCAGATATAAATAAAGGAAGAGATACAGCTCAGCATATTTCTTTTTCTTAAATTGACTGCCCCTAGGAAGCTTTGACATCTAGAAGGAGCAGTGTTAATTTTCTTCATTAAGATACTCACTTTCTTCTTTATCTGAATTTAACAGCCATACTGAGATTTAAATGTCTCTTTGCAGGCTTTCTTATTAACATAGAAAAAAAGACAGACAAACCAGTTAAAAAGTTGGGGAGGAAGGTACAATTCATTACATGTGCTCAGGTCTGCTTACTTGCAAAGGAAGGTTTTCAATATCAACAATACCTTAAACAATGCCTCATCATGGCATTTTAATTTTTTTAATAAATTTTCCTGACTTTCCTTCACAACAGTTCCGTTTTCCATAATATTCTCTTCCTGTTTTCCAGTCTCTTAACTTTAAGCAGTTGCCACACTGCCCTATGTTGGATATCCTATTTTTGTTTGTGCTCAAAGTGCCCAGAGAAAGCAACAGCAGTTTTATCAATGCAAAATCCTCAAGAACTTTTTGCTACAACTCTTCCGAATTTCCTTCTAGTTATCACAACTGATGAGATATCAGAGGACCTTGTTTTCAGAGGTTTCAGGCAGCCTGCCAGAGTGTAAGGGAACATGAAAGACCTGTTATTTGGTTAAAGTTCAGTTTTATGTAAATTATTTTTTTTCCTGCCACCACTTCGTGGAGACAATTTCAACTGGTAAACTTCATACCAAAGTTTTCCTATAGCTTGAGAAATACGTTGGCAGAAGAGAAACCACAGTCAAACAGAACATTTGGGCTTTTTCCCCACCCCCCCAAGTGCCTTTACTCTCTATATTCTTGCTGTGTGAACCTTGTGCAGACAGGCACATTGTCTTTTGTGCAACGAATGGCTATCTGCCCCATAATGACAAGTTCAAGTGAAAAGTAGAACAGATTTTCACTAGGGCTGTACTGGAGAAGCTGCCTGTGACTTATCTGGGAGCCAATAACATTTACTGCAAGCATGCACTGCAAGAAGGATTAGGCTGAAAACAACTTGGAACCATTGCCACAGTTTTCTAAAACAAGGCTGACCAAATCTTGATGTGGCCTGTATGTGTAGTCTAGCTATGCCCTGTACAAGTATGTAGAAACCAGTAATTCTCCCAGCACAGGCTGAATAATAGAGTAATTCCCACATTTATCTCAACACAGTACAGCATTGTTTTATCCTTTTCCTATTTTCATCTGCAACAAAATATCAACAGGCACCATCATGCACACAAAACAAACGGAAACACTGGAGCTGGACATCATTTCTTACACCGTATGGACATAGACTCAACAACTAACTTGTAGATTACTAAGAAGGAAATATATATTTTTTTTAATGTGTTAAGAGCAAACAAATTTTTATGGATTTTAAACATTAATCCCTGTTCCTACTGCCCAAAACAATCATGATTCTGTTTCTCCAGCTTGCAGTATGGTGGCTGTCTTTCAAAGAAATAATAATGCTGCTGCTGCTACATTAAGCCATCTGGGTAGAACAGTTCTAGAACAAATTTTACAATGTTTTTTTTTTACCTTGAGAGGCCAGCCTGTCATTCACATTCCCTGAATCAACAACGTCCACAACACTTATTTGTAGTGCACCTTCCTGGAATAAAATAGAAAAGTTGAAAAATCACAAGCCACTGTTTTTTTTTCTGGTATTTTCTAAGAATGCAACATCCACCTTAGAAAGTGACTGCTTTCGTTTAACTGTGACTATGTGATACATGTTCAGTTCCACCACAAAACTAAGATCAGTGAAAGTCTAATACTAATGTCCACAATCTAGGCCAACCAGCTTTACACTGCTGAATATTTTGTGAAAAAAGCACCTGTCTTCTGAAAACACCAGTGAAAAGGGATCAGCAAGGATGGCAAAACCCTGACCTAGTCCCACACAGGAAGAGTGCAGGTGAGGAAGGGAAGTAAAGCAAGGAGGCAGCACAGGGGTCCTCTGGAATAACTAGCAATGGGTGTGCTCCACAGCGTATTTTGCTCCTTCTTCCATGATCAGACACAGTTTTCCAACTGGGGAAAACTTCTCAACTGTAAAGGTAAGTGACTAATTAAAATCTGTGAAATTTACAGCAAGCCACATTTGTAGCCCAACATATTCTCCTGCTATTCTGAAATGAAAAGATACCTGAGTTGTATTTACTGTGCCGCAGTGCAACCTTATCTTTATAGCAGAAAAAACAAGTTATGCTTTAAACTCCTGTGGGCCATACCTGCTCAGAGCTGTTCTGGTTCCACACAGCTTCGTAAGGAGGAGGTGGGTCCAGAGGGCAAAACACTTCAACATCTTTGATTCGCACTCCGTAAATATGGGGCAATGGAATCACATCAGAGGCAAGCATCCTGCAACAAATAACATCAGTCGACTCTGTCGGTACGGCTTTCCAGCTGTAGAAAAACATCATCAGTTGCCAAACTCCACTGACTTTCCTGTGCCAGCCCAGATTTTGTGATCTCAGTCACAGCTAATGAACTCGCCAAGAGCTGGAAGAGATTTTCCCAGATGATGGCAGGAAATTATTCCTGAGGAGGTGCCTCTCCAAGGTGTTCCCTGGATCTACAAACATCTTTGGGCAGTACTGTGCCTGGGAATCCATTTCAGTTTTACTTCACAAAGATTCAGCTTTGCTTCAAGAGATTCAAATACAGGTGGTAATTCAAAATGTGACAGCCTAGCTCTGATTTTGTGAACTACTAAATTCTTAATTATAAATATCTTGAAATTCAAGATATTTTGCATCTCATGTTTTATGTTCAGATACAGCTGTACTGAAAAAGGCAAATTCAAACTGAAGGTTATTTTTGTGACGATGTTTGGCTAAGAATATTATAGTTGATGAATTCACAAAAGCTTATATGAGGCAAACGTACCTCATGGTTAACCTTACTTCGCAGTTTTCAAAGAGCTCTCTGAAACCTTAAATACTGCAGAAACCCCAAAGACCTTTTGCTGTACCATCTTCCTCTTAGGAGGTAACTCCAAGAGGGAGGAAATCAGAACCATGCCTGGAGAAACTTTTTGGCAAATGTCAATTTTGATAACATAAGTTTACATTACCCCTTTAACACTGGAACAAAGTGCAGTGGTCGACAGCAGAGTTGCTGAGGTGACCTTCCCCACACAATTTTCAGAGAAGTCTGTGACCCACAGGATCTCAATTTTTCTCTGCTTTTTATTAGGCTTTAGAATGCTGATTTGGTACTGAGCAGGAACCTCATGCAACACACATAAGCCGAAATGTTTTGCTCTCTGGACCCACATCAGGCTTGCAGCTATCACTGGTGGATGCAATCTCTCTACAAAGAAATGTTACACAAGGGCAAGTCCTTCCTCCCCCAATTTAGGGATTCTTGGGACATGGACTGGAAGGAACAAAGATGACTGTGAAAATTATTTTCTTGCAAGCTGAGAGGAAAGTGCTGTGTGATTGGAAATGTCTATGGAAGGCTACTTACAGCAGAAAAGAATAAAACTTCCAAAAAAAAAGAGAGCTGGGCTGCACTTTCATACACTCTGACAACTCTCTTTTTATGTAAGCAAGGTGAATTCTTCTGTTAGCCAAAAAGCCAGCAGCTTTTTGAAGTGATGATACAGGAAGATAGGGAATAGGAGTCAAAGCTTCTTCAGGGAACCCCACTACCAAGAACCTGCTCTAGACTGTGGGGAGGCTCTGTGCTGCCTGCTGCTGGTAAGCAGGACACTGAAGGGGGAAGGCACATCCTCGGCCACCTCTCGCCCAACTTCTGCACTCATACCTCAGCTAACAGCAGCATCAGGGCTTTGGCCTCCAGGAAACTTCCATGTTTCAATAGCAGCAACACGTTCAGTGGTTCAAAAACAACTGTCAGTAGCACATGGGTCAAATTCGAGATATATACTGAATCTGAGAATACACGACTTGGATAAGCAGATTTGCATTTTGGCAAATGCCTCTAGTCCCCTAAACGGTACTTTAAACTGGATGGGGGTAGGTTTCTAGACCCCAGGTGACTGGTTTGCTGCCCCACATGGACCACCTCTTCCGTTAAATTCGCATGCCTTCTAGCACTTTGTATTTTATTCTTCATGTGGGAACGCAGCTATAACTGTTACTGTTGTTGTGCCAATCCTGAAAAACAACTTAACTGCCATTTCCTTATTTAAGAAATAACAAGATTAGAGTTAGGAGTTGACCAGGCACTTGCAGTGCTAGTTTCTTTTGTCTACCACCAAATGAAACAAATGTAAAAGTTTTTCCCACGAACAAATGAACAAAGCAGTTAATTGGCTTTGCAAGCAGTGCCTCTGGCTCTGCAATTTGAAGGGTGGAGAAGAAGGGCTACCCATTCCAAACATGTCCTTGGCACACGTTTTGATCACCTCAGTGTTTCCTTTCTCAGAGAGATGTATCTGGGAGTCACCCCAGGTGCAGCTTGCAGATAGTGGCTCGACACCCTGGATGCAAGTCCTGTCAACCCCCTTTTGCACAAAGGCTTTGGATGTGGGGTCTATGGGAGCTTGGCATAGAAAGCTAGGTCATAGATGCAGCATGGTGTCCAGGGTACAGACCCAGCAGGGAGGGGAGGGAGAAGTGCAAGAAGGCTGAGAACAGGCTGGGTCTCACCTCAGCGGCTCTCCTGGACACCCTGGGTCCAGCCTGGGGTGAGTCGTGTTTCCTTGTCTGACAAGAACCAAAATTAAGTCTGTCTGTTGCTTTAACTTCTGCACTTGTAACTACCCTGAGCACCTTGAGACAAGTAGCCTGGCTTCAGAAAGATGTCACCATCACTTGTATGTTATTATCAACAAGTTTTAATGCAGTCATAGGCAAGGTAGCTACTCAATATTAGACTTCAGAAGCCTCACATATCATTCAGCAGTCCCTACTGTGCTGAAAACAGACAGAGAAATACTGCTGCTGGGAAGGAGGTAACCACCTGAAATGACATGCCAGACAAAGAGTGACAGCCCCATTTTATAGCAAGGGATCTGTGACAAGCATATTTCAATAAATACACCATCTTCCAAAGCGATCATTACGCACAACATTCTTTTCTCATAACTAGCTTGAACCAAGACTCACATAGGAGGTTTTTAATAATGTTTGGAATTCAACACCAGTCTTTGGTGTTTTAGACAACTTTTTTATTGTAAAATATATTCTTGTGCCATGTTACCATTTTCCAGATAATCCCAGGATATGTAATTATGTCTGCAAGGACCACAGAGTCTTGAAAGTCATGCACAATATTCCTGATGAAACAGTGAAATAGACTAAACGGTCATGCACACTGCAAAAAGCAGGAGTTTGAACAAGAGAGATACAGTCTGCTTGAGCCTCATGATATTTTATGTACAAACTTTGTGCATTCACAACAGAAGAATGCAGCCCCACTTGAGTCATAAACTAATAAATAAAGCCAACCTGTAAGTTATTGTGAAGAGTGTGTAACCACCTGCAGAATGGAGGACAATGAAACCCACAAGTCACCACTGAATTGCAAGAAATACAGACACTAGTAAGTCCCAGTAGAGCAAAATAACAGAGCTGATGGTTAATGGACAAGCTACATTATTTTTAGCCCTAATCTTCTTCAAAACACAAGAAAAATCCCACAAAATTTATGTTGTAATGTTTCATAAGACTAATAATACCAAAGAAGGCAGCCTTCTGCAACCTGTAAATTTTCTGCACATTCTTCTCCTACTCAGAAGAAAATTCATACCACTGTTATTTTATCCTCCTCCAAATCCTTCTTCCCTCATCTTTGTAGTAATGAATTTTAAAAAAAGGGGGGGGGAGCCAGGGGGAGATTACCATGACTTATGACGGTCCTCCTTTTCTTTTGATATGCGAACTCATCCCCTCATGTTCCCTCTCACTCCTCCATCCCACAGCTGCCACCGCAGACAAGCCCGGCAATAACACCAGGTGCAAACCCTATCTGACCACCCAAACCCAAGTGCGGAGATAAGGGTAGTGATTACCAGGCCTAGCAGTACAATCAGAACATACCCTCCAGTCAGCCCTAATTGCCAAAGAGGGAGAAGGGGAATTGCTCTGGCAGGAAGGTCTGTGGGGGGCAAGCTGCCCTTCAGGGGTCTCTCTTTCAGAAGCCTTGCCAAGATGTTGCACTTGGCTTTCTGTCACTGCCCCGACCTGCTCCTGACAGCACCGGAAAAGTTTTTAGCTGCATCAAGTTGTGGTATTTCTCTTACCCAGAAACAGTTCCTACAGATTCTAAAGTGAAAACCACAAAATTATACTCCTCACCCACACTGTATTTATGCTGCCTCCTAACTCAACATGTTTTTTTTTCTTGTGTTTCTTTCCTAAAGTCACCAATGTTTTTCAGTTAATAACAGAGAAAATAGTCTTGAAAAAAAAAACAACAAAAAACACACCACATCATGCAGTGTTTCCATAAACACTAAAAGAAAGGATGAGAGTGTAGGGGTTTACCTGCGACTTGTTCGTGGAGTACAAGAATAAAAAGTTGCAAAATAGGAGGGAGGAGGTACAGGTGGGACAAAATCATCAGGATCTGAACCTTGATCTTCGTCTTCAATCTGTGGTTCATCCTAAGCAAATGAAACTTCTGTTACAAACCTTCTGAGATATAAAAAATTGCTGGACTGTGTAATTTAGTAATGCTGTTAGTACCACTGTTCATATGAGGCAATGCCTCGCACTCACTTACTATGCAAGATCTTCTTGTTGCAAAAATCTGTAGGTAATGCACAGCAGCTGCTACCAAGCAAACTGTGGTGGTGAGAGCATCCAGAGCACAGAGAGCAAAGAGAGCTTTCTGAAGAACATGAAGATTATGGAAATTAAAATACTAAATCAAGATATTTGTAAATGTCAAAATAATATCAATAAAAAATGAAAAACACAGAAAACACAAGGACGACCATAACAATTACTTCTTAGAAACATATGTGATGCAGTCTTCAGGACAGGTGATCTCCAAGATTGGAGTAATTTGCAAAAGCTTGCTTTGCCCTATTGTGTGTCCTGACAGAGAGATCCAGAAGAGTACAGCTCAGATGTGATTTATAATACATCTATTCATCCAAGAATTACAATCTTCCTCTTAACTTTTCTGTGGGAAATTCAGATGTGAGATAATCACCATTAAAGAAATGTTAAAGCACTTTTACATTTAAAGATTATGCTGTTTGGAATTTGTATTTTAGCTATTTGTAAACCAAGAAAGCCTTAGAAAATCAAAAGACCAGTGAAGTCATCAAATCACTAGCTGAAATTTACAACATTGTAAACAGCAACGATCTTGTCTGAATTCAAGTGTAGTTGTGGCTGCACAAAACACAGAAAGGACAAGAACTGCATATTGGTCAGCTATGCGCTGGTAAAACCCAAAAAACACCCTGTTACAGAACCATAAAGAGCTTCTGACCAGTGTGGAAGACCAGAAAATTACAAAATTTTTCACAGTAAACACAGCAGTCACCTCAGCACTGCGCTGTTGCACAAGTGTGGACATTATCAAAGCAGTCACGTTAAGTGCTGTGTGCAGGGTACCTTGAGAAGAAGGTGAGCAGCACTGCATGACTGCGTGTGGTGTAGCTTCAACGCAGTCTCTTCATCTGTGCATTCATTGAGACGGAATTCTTCACAGCAAAAGCAAATCTTGTTTTCACCTACATCCACCTTTAAAAACACAAAACTCCACCTTTTAATTTGTTAGCTGGTTTATGCTACATTTTTACATGCATAATATAGAGCCTATGTGTTAAGGTATACCTCTGATTGCAAAGCAGACTGGAAACAGGCTCATAAAATGACATTTGTACAGTTTGGTACACCAATGATTCATGCATTATAAATATGTACTATGCATACTTCTTATTTGCAAGGAAGCACTACTGATAAACTCAAGACATTCAAATACAACTTAGTTGCAATCAAAGCTGCACTGATTACTAAGCAATTTTAGCACCCATGCTCCTTCAATTGCGTAGCAGCCTGCAAATTCTTTGACTGATGTATAAGCCACTGATATGGAGTGTACATGTTTTCTTTGATTCATGAGTATATTGCACCTCTATGGATGGAAGGAAACCCACAACTATAATTTCAACCCAGGCAAATCAGTAATAGTTACATCGGTACGTCACTATTGTTTGTAACTTTCAAATTAATGCTGTCATCTTGGTTTTCAAGTAAAAATTCAATGTCTCTGTATCTAGAGTTAACTGGTTTTTTAGCTGTCAAATGCTCCACAGTCACAGTGCCAAAGGTCTTCCACCTACAAAAAACCAATCTACAGAATCATTTATGATTTTTTGCCTTTCGGCTGTACCCTATGCCTTCCAACCACAGAGGACTCTGAAATTCCTGAAACATTTAACCATATTGTCCGGAATAACATTAACAGTTCTCAGTGCTGCTTCGGTACATTGATACTGTGTGAATCTAGATTGCCAAGCACTTGTAATCTTGGACTCTCACTGCAATACACCCACTGGCATGTTAAGGAACCAACAATAGCTTTCTTGAAGCAATAAATGTATGAAAATAAATATTTGAAGACCTTTCCATTACCCCTTAAAGTCCTTCAAGCCTTTACACACAATCATCTTTACCATCAAGTGAGCCTGTATCCTTCAGTTTCAATTATTGCACGGTTTCTGGTTCGTAATTAGACATTGTTCTACTTCTTATGACACCCATTTGAGAAAAATCTTTTACATTCTGTCCTTTCTTACTCAAGACAAAGTGTTCTGAAAAGCTAGCATGATTTAATCTAGCTCAATTTTTTCCTCACAGTTCTTGCTGTACAATATCAACACAAACTGTCCTCACCAGGTGAGGTAAACCAGGAAAAATAACACCACTTACAAATTATACCTGCTGAGCTTTTTGTAGGTAGCTCATCAGTACCCACTCAGGCTTTTTCAACAGTTTATCTTTGTCACACTGCTATAAAAATCCTTTATGCTAGCTCTTAAATGACTATGTTAAAATCAGCATATAATACTGGCAAGAGGGATTTTCTAAAGATATTCCCTCCTATATGGACCCATAAAATTGTCTAGAAAGCCTTGTACCAAATCAGCTGTGTCTTCAGACCATGAAGACAGAGGCCATCTCTCAATGAAGTCCAACAAAACCATTTCTGGGCTAAATATGCTCTTCTGATGAAGAGTAAAGCCTTTGGAAACATATCCTGTTGGAATCTTCAGCTTTAGGAGCTGAACAGCTTATGAAGACTCCAACTCAAAAAATCAAAGTGTTTAGGAACACAGACCAAAAAATGTGGATTTTAGTGAGTCTGTTCAGAATTTGGACTGAATCAGGGCCTGAAACAGAGAGGTTTCCCCCCCCTCCCCCCACTGTGCTGTAGCTGCATTGTGTGCATCTCTACATTACTACATTTTGTGATCCCAGCTCGACAAGTTTACATGGCATACCACGAAGAAATGTGTAAATCAGTATGTCTGCTCACCAGGTCGCATCTGGATACACTGGACACAAACTGAACACCTTGACATCCCAATATAAATCCAGCC